GGCGGGGGGGCGGGGGGGAAAGAAACCACGACGGGACACGGACGTGGGGGGGACGGACACGGGACGGGACGGGGGCAAAGATTTTTTAAGAGCACAATCTTAAAAAAAGTCAGAGGGCTGAAGAGATGGCTCAGCAGTTAAGAGCACTGACTGCTCTTGCAGAGGTCACAGGTTTGATTCCCAGTACCCGCATGGTGGCTAACAACCACCCATAACTCCAGTTCCAGGAGATCCGAAGTCATCTTCTGACCTCCATGGGCACGGCATGACGACACGGGTGCATTTACGGGCATACAGGCAATATACTCATACACACAAAATAAAAATAATCAATAAAACAGTTTTCTAAAAAGTCAGGGTGAAAGCTGGGCGTGGGGGCGCCTGCCTTTAATCCCGGCAGTGGCAGACGGATGGTTGTGAGTTCAAGGCCAGCCTGGTCTACATAGTGAGTTCAGGTCAGCTGGGACTACAGGGAGACCCTGTCTCAAAAAGACATTAAAAAAAAAAAAAAAAAGGTGAATTGCAAATACCCTAATTGCCAATCGTGACCCTTGCTTTACACCATATATAAAGATTTAAATTAGAACAGATTGCTGACCTAAATGTAAAACCTAAAACTACACAGTTAATGATAGGAAAATGGAGGAGAAAATATTTGTCTATTTAATTTTGTCTTTGGTTGGGGGCAGGGGGATGGTTGTTGTTGTTTGAGACAGGGTCTTACTCTGTAGCCCAGGCTGGCCTCAAACTTGCAGTGATCCTCCTGCCTCAGCCTCCTGAGTACTGGGATTGTGTGAATCCCACTAATAGTTGAATTAGACAAATTCGTTTTTTCCTTTTTTTTTTTTTTTTTTTGAGACAGGGTCTCATGATTTATCCTGGCTGGCCTGGAATTCGCTATTTAGACCAGGCTGTCCTGGAACTCACAGAGATCTATCTGCCTGCCTCCACCTCCTGAGTCCTGGAACTAAAAGTGTGCACCACTATGCCTGGCAACAAGTTTATTTTTTTTAATTTATTTTTATTATTTTTATTTATGCTTGTGTTTCTGAATGTGTGTGTGCCACATGTGTGCAGATGCCTAAGGAAACCAAATGACTACTTCAGATTTCCCTGGAGCTGGAGTAACAAGCAGTTGTGAGTCACACGATGTGGGTGCTGGGAACTGAACTCAGGTCCTCTGGAAGTGCTCTTAACTGTTGAGCCATCTCTCCAGCCCATAGACAAAGGTATTTTTAGGACATAAAAATCACAGAATATGAAAGTTAAAATTGATAAATTGGATTTCCTCAGGATTAAAATCATTTTAATCTTGAAAAACACCATAAAAACTAAAAATCAAGTCATAGATAATAAGAAATATTATCAACAACACACATTATATATGTGCAAAGCAGTTGCATTCAAAATATACAAATATTCAACTCATAAATAAATAAATAACAGATGAGCCAGTTTAAAGATGGGCAAGGGTTGTGAATAGACAGCCCCTTAAAGAAGATAAAGGAATAGCCAATAAGTGCGTGAAAAGAAGCCTAACATGGTTAGTCATCAGGAATGTGCAATCAAAACCACAGTGAAATACCACTTACACAGAAAACAACAAAAACAAGTGATGATGTGGAGACAGTAGGAAAATATTTCTGCTGTGAGTGTAAAATGCTACAGTTGCTTTGGAAAAGTTTGGTGGTTCCTCAAAACAGTACACAGAATAGTCATGTGACCCAGCAATCCCACTCCTAATTCTACCCACAAGACCTGTGAACATACGTCCACATGAGATTTGTACATGAATATTCATAATGACTTTTTCAGCCAGGGTGTCAATATATAGCCATGGCTGACCTGGTACTCATGGAGATCTGGGATTAAAGGTGTGCACCACCATGCCTGGCTTTCATAATGGTATTAGTCAATACAGCTAAAAAGATCTGAAATAGGGGCCTGGAGAGATGACTCCTGGCTAAGAGCACTGACTGCTCTTGCAGAGGATCTGGATTTGGGTCACATGGTGACTAACAACCATCCATAGCTCCAGTTTCAGAGGATCTGACACCCTCTTCTGACTTCCCCAGGCATTGTACCACACAGGTTCATTTACACATGGACAGGCAATACATTCATATATATATTTTTTTTTTAATTTGAAATATTGGGTCTGGAGAGATGGCTCAGCAGTTAAGAAAACTGGTTATTCTTGCAGAAGACCCGGGTTTGAATCCCAAAACCCACATGGCAACTAACAACTGTCCGTAACTCCAGTCCCAGAGGATCCGACATCCTCTTCTAACCTCCACGGGCATTGCACGACATGGGTGCACTTACCTACATGCAGGCAATACACACATACACATAAAATAAAAATAATAAGATAAAAACATTTTAAATTTTAAAAAAATCTGAAATAACCCAAATGTTCAGTAACTCATGCATACATAAACAAAATATTACATATCTATATCATAGACTATTATTGGCCATAAAAAAAATGAAGTGGGGCTGGAGAGATGGTTCAGAGGTTAAGAGCACTGACTATTCTTACAGAAGATTTGGGTTTGAATCCCACATGGTAGCTAACAATGGTCCATAACTCCAGTTCCAGGGGATCTGACACCCTCTTCTGTCCTCTGCAGGCATCGTACAACACTGGTGCACTTACATACATACAGGCAATACATGCATACACATAAAAGTAATAAAAATATTTTTGAAAAAAGAATGAAGTGGGGCTGGAGAGATGGTTCAGCGATTAAGAGCACTGACTGCTCTTGCAGAGGACCCGGGTTTGATTCCCAGCACCCACATGGCATCTAACAACTGTCCATAACTCCAGTCCCAGGGGATCTAATGGCCACTTCTGACCTCCATGGGCATTTCATGACACAGGTGCACTTACTTACATGCAGGCAATACACACATACACATAAAATAAAGATAATAAATAAAATATTTTTTTAAAAAGCACATATGGAAAACCAGGTGTGGTGGTACATGTCTTTAGTCCCAGGACTTGGCAGGGAGAGGCAGGTAGATCTCTGTGAGTTCAAAGCCAGCCTGGTCTACATAGTGAGTTCCAGGCCAGCTGGGGCTACAAGGAGACCCTGTCTCAAAAAGACCAAAAAAGAAAAAAGTATATATGGAGCCTGGAGAGATAGTTCATGGTTACCAGCACTTGATGTTCTTGCAGAGGATTGGTGTTTGGTTCCCTGCACCCATGTCAGATGATCCATAACCACCTGTAACTTCACCTCCAGAGGATCCAATATTCTCTTCTGACCTCCTTAGGTACCTGCACTCAGGTGCGCACATCTACACATAGATACATACATAGGCATAAATAAATTTTTTTTTAAATTGCTGGTGTGGTGGCACACACTTTTGATCCTAGCAACCAGGAGGCAGAAGCCTGAGGATCTTTGTGAATTTGAGGCCAGCTTGGTCCACATAGTGAGACTCTGTTTCAAATAAATAAACAAATAAATAAATAAATAAATAAATAAATAAATAAATAAATAAAAATAAAGGAGCCGAAGAGATGGCTCAGAGATCTTCTTGAGTTCAGGAGCAGCCTAGCTTCAAGAGTGAGACCCTGTTTCAAAAAGTGAACAAGGACTTGCATTTGGTTCCCAACACCCACATGGCGATTAACAACCATCTGTAACTCCAGTTCCCTGGGGATCTGAAGCCCTCTTCTGACCTCCGCAGGCACTGTGTGCATGTACACATACATGCAGGTAAAACACTCATATGACATAAAATAAAAATAGATCTTTTAAATTAAAATAAATCTTTTAAAAATTATATATGTAAGGCTCCTCAACATCAAGGGGACCAAAAAAAAAAAAAATCCTTTGTTGGTCAGCTCCATGGTAGAGTGCTGGCCTAGCATGTAAATGGCCCAGAGTTAGGTCCCCTGCATCACAAAAGACAGGAAGTGCAGACGTGCAGACTCTAAGGCGACAGGAAGCAGATGAGGAGGGGGACTTACATGAAGTCAGGCAGGAGAAGTTGCTCTGGGGCACAGGAAGCTTTGTGGGTGACTAAACAATGAAATGCTCATCTTCTTGATTGTGGCGTTGTCACAGGTGCACACACGTGAATTTTTAGACTGTGCATTTAAGGATGCATGTAAGGATGCGCTTTACTGCACTTTTATTGTGGTTTATTGCAGTAAAGTTGGATCAACAAATATACACACTAGATAGCAGTAGGTTAAAAAAAAAAAGGAGAAAAAGATAGAAACATGAAAGGACAAGTTCAGGTGACTGACTGTCTGAATAACAGCAGGGCCAGTGAAGAAGAGAGAAATGAAAGAGTTCTAGAAGTTTCTCCAGATCTCAGAGACATACACATTATATGTAAGGGCCCAACAACAATGACAATGTAGCCAATTTTAAGCCAGTTGGGTGGAGCACTGTGAAAGAGAGCTCATAGTCTGGGGGCTGGAAGGAATAAGAACATTTTTATACTGACCCCAGATTCTTTTTTATTTTTTAGAAACAGGGGTCTTAGCCAGACACGGTGGTGCACGCCTTTAATTCCAGCACTTGGGAGGCAGAGGCAGGTGGATCTCTTTGAGTTCCAGGCCAGCCTGATCTATGTAGGGAGTTCCAGGACAGCTGGGGCGACAGGAAACCCAGTCTCAAAAAGACGAACATGGAGACAGAGACGGAGACGGAGACGGAGAAGGAGAAGGAGCAGAAGCAGAAGCAGCAAGGGTCTTG